ATGTGGGCATATGAATAACGACCGCTTAAAATCGATCTCAAATTTGTACCTTCGCTGTAGAATGTTATGTAGTTTGACTATTGTCAATGAAATCGAATGCTTTGTACTGCATGCGCTCCACGTTTTCGTTTTCAATGTCATTAATTGTTTATAATGACTTTTGCTAAAATTTCAAAATCAAAAGTTATCAAAACAAATTGTGTGGGACTGAGAAATATTATTTTCTACTTTTTAGTCCATTTATAAAAGCGTTGTATATTAAAAAGTTTTTATTTTATTATGAATCATTTTGAACAAGCTCGAGGCCCAGCAATTAAATAAAACGCAAAAACTTCGTTCTATTGATATTTTTAATTGTCGATATTTCGACCTCAATCTGAGGTCATCTTCAGGACTGTAAATATACATACAAACACGATAACTTATTATTAACTTTAAATTATTACAAACATACATTAAACACAACTTACACTCTTGATACTGCCTGGTGGACTGATTAGGCGTACAGAAATAAAAGTTAAACAAGTGAAATTTTAGGCAAATGAATACAAACATAAGAAGTAAACAATTAAAAATACCGTAATTGTAAACAAAAAACATACAAACAACAATACACGGAACATTTAGCCGTAAGACAATATGTATATGTACAAGCATATGTACATGTGAAAGCACAGCATTTTATTGTTATTTTACAATACCTTCAGTTGGGGAAACGGCACGAATGTTGATTATGGAAGGCGGAACGGAACACCTACGTTGAGGATTGTTGTTGCCGGTTTAACACCAAATTGCGATACACATGTGCACAATTGTCTGTCTCAGTTTTAAAGTTGATCCTTCTTTCCTTAGGGGTGTTCGTAATGTGTAACATTTCCAAAATATAGCGTTTATTATAGTTCTTTTTTTCTTGTAGAATGGCAACATTATCGAAATCGGGATAGTGTCCCGTATCCCTACAGTGTGCTTACAAAGCCGTCTTCTTGTCAGTTGAGCTGTTCCTTTAATTTATATTTGATTTGTGTGCGGAAATCCTTGTCTTGAGTATAGTTTTAGTTGTCCCCACATATACTTTGTGGCATAAGTGGGACCCGTCGCCATTGCATGAGATTTTGGAATCTTATCCTTAGTGTTGCTATACATTTTTCCTAATGTGTTGCTGCATGTAAATGCTAGTTGGACCTTCTCTTTATCATATATATTAGAATGTTTAATCCTCTCAGATATCCCCGGAACATATGTAGCGGTTTTGTATACTTTATTCTCATTATAAGTATTTTCTTTATCGGTCCTGACGTAATAATTCTGAATGAGTTTCCTAATTAAGCAAGAGGGGAATTCGTTCTGTTCCAAAATTTGTTGGATTATATTTTTGTTCTTTTTATGAAAATGTTTGTCGCTAATAGTGAGAACTCTTCTAATAAAATTGGTTGCGGTATTTAACCCTTAACCACCTACCCCCCGTCTCACAGACACCTTCAAATTTAAAGTCGTAAATATATTAGCGGGTGTGTATTGTACAAACGTGATCGATCATGTACCTTTCCTAAGCATAATTTAGTACCGCGTAACTGCTTGACAAGATCATACGTGGGCGCGTTTGTAATTGGTAAGTAAAAAACTACCATTGACCGTCTCTGAGACGGGTGGTAGGCGGTTATGTGATTTTTTTTAGTAATAGTGATTTTTGTTGTTTTAGTGAAAAATGGCTGTTAATGACGCGCTTATCGAAAGGTGGTTAGAAGAAGAAATTTTAGATGTAGAATGATGAATGCAGTGATGTAGAATCAGATTTTGGACCAGAGCAATTGCCGGAGGAAAGTTGTGAATCGGATTCTGAAATCGAGGGTGATAAAGAGCTGCCTGAACATGAAAATTCGAATATACTGCATCAGTCTCCGGTTTTACCTGAAGATCGACAAACTTCATCGGACGACGACTTACCATTATTAGAATTGAGATCCAATCTTAGGAAGAGAAATTATTTCGGTAAGAATCGCTTTCGTTGGTCTACTGTACCGCCGACCCTATGGTCGAGAACTTTGCAGCATAATATAGTGCAGGAAAGAGAGGGTATAAAGCCAGAATATCGGAATGAACTAAATGCCTCATCTACTCCATTGGACAGCTGATAAGACCACATCTAGAGCGCCGGGAAAATAATGGGAGTATTCAGCGGGACATCAAACTCGCTATTTGTCGTATATTCCATCACAATGAGGAAATCAGTTTACCAGAACTTCCAAGTACCAGAAGTGCCGAGGAGCGGCTAGAAATAAGGAAAACATGCTCGACTTGTGATCCGAAAAAGAAACGTAGGAGCCAGTATATATGTTTTGAATGTAAGAAACCAATTTGCCTAGAGTGCTCAAACAAGTTGTGTATTCACTGCCGTGAAAAACTATAAGTTGAAGATGTGCAATTTTGCGTAATTTTTCTTTTTCTTTGAGAAATTCATATAATTTCAGAATTTTTAAATATTGAATAATCCAAAATTAATAAGAAATTCTTGATATATTACGTTCCTTTTTATTTTTGACCTCATTTTCCAAGGGGTATANGATTTTTTTTTTCTTTGAGAAATTCATATTATTTCAGAATTTTTAAATATTGAATAATCCAAAATCAATAAGAAATTCTTGATATATTACGTTCCTTTTTATTTTTGACCTCATTTTCCAAGGGGTATAGTTTTAAAGTCAAAACAAGATGACTGAAGAAGTGATTTAAGTTTAAAAAACAATAAGTTGAATTTTTTCTGTACTTTTTCGTTTAATAAATACCTGAATATATATAAATACTAATTTATGTCCCAAAATATCTTTAAATTTGTTAAACCATGCACGCACGGGCAATATCAAGTCGACGTCTCCTAGACGGTAGGTAGGTGGTTGTGTGATAAAAATAGGGGGTAGGTGGTTAAGGGTTAAAATAGTCTTCCTCTCATGTTTCGAATTATAATAAATTAATCTCCCCGACGACGTAGGTTTTGCATACCAGTCAATTTTTAATCNCTGAATATATATAAATACTAATTTATGTCCCAAAATATCTTTAAATTTGTTAAACCATGCACGCACGGGCAATATCAAGTCGACGTCTCCTAGACGGTAGGTAGGTGGTTGTGTGATAAAAATAGGGGGTAGGTGGTTAAGGGTTAAAATAGTCTTCCTCTCATGTTTCGAATTATAATAAATTAATCTCCCCGACGACGTAGGTTTTGCATACCAGTCAATTTTTAATCGGTTGTTCTTCCTGACTACTAGGGTGTCCAGATATGGTAGGTTTCCATCTTTTTCTATTTCTATCGTAAATTTAATCTTCTTTGTTCCGTGTATTATTGTTTGTATGTTTTTTGTTTACAATTACGGTATTTTTAATTGTTTACTTCTTATGTTTGTATTCATTTGCCTAAAATTTCACTTGTTTAACTTTTATTTCTGTACGCCTAATCAGTCCACCAGGCAGAATCAAGAGTGTAAGTTGTGTTTAATGTATGTTTGTAATAATTTAAAGTTAATAATAAGTTATCGTGTTTGTATGTATATTTACAGTCCTGAAGATGACCTCAGATTGAGGTCGAAATATCGACGATTAAAAATATCAATAGAACGAAGTTTTTGCGTTTTATTTAATTGCTGGGCCTCGAGCTTGTTAAAAATGATTCATAATTTAAAATTCAAAGGCCAACAACAAAAACAAAATATGTTTTTATTTTATTTTATTTATTTCAAATTATTGTTGCTTTTACACAATAAGTTTTCATTAAAAAATCGGCCTCGAACTCAATAAAAATTTTTGAATATAATTGTTATAAGGCAATAAAATAATAAAAACAAATAACTTAAGGATGAGCACACCTAAAAAAAATTACTCATTCTAATAATAGAAAATATTAACAAAAACCAACAAAACCGACAACCACACCATCAAGTGAATTGCAGCGGAATAGCTGTGCTTGATTGTAGTTGGCTTAGCAAGTGAAATAGTGGAAATAAGCAACAAGAATTAACAAGGCGAACTTAGCACATTGCGTAGGCAACTGGCTGAGTCAGTGGGATCGTCGGTTCGAATCCTACTGAAAGAAGTCTGCTGAGGAAATGTGGTGATTTCCGAAATAACTATCACTTCTACCATTTTTTCAAATTATTGTTGCTTTACCACAATAAGTTTTCATTAAAAAACAGCCTCGAGCACAATAAAAATTGTTGAATATAATTGTTATAAGGCCATAAAATAAAACAAATAAAAACAAGTAAGAAAGNTTCCTATTTTAAAAATTTTCGGCCATTTCGTAGGCTTTGTCAAGACCTACAACTGTGCCAATCTTGGAAGAAATTGGTCCAGCGGTTACCAAGATATACCCATGTAACCATAAGTGGGCGTGGCTACGCCCATTTTACAAAAATTCATAATATTCTTATTTGTCGTCTAAAACTTTTTGTAAATATCAATTTTGAGTGAATTATCTTCAGTAGTTACTAAAATATCGCAGTTTTCGTATTTCTGAAAATTACCGTTATATGGGAGGTAGGCGTGGTTATTGTCCGATTTTGCCCATTTTCAATACCGTCCGTCCTACGGAAGAAAGAAGTGCACGTACCAAGTTTCGTTAAGATATCTCAATTTTTACTCGAGTTATCGTGTGCACAGACGGACGGACGGACAGACAGTCACCACTTAATCGATTTCTCTTTTCATTCTGATCATTTATGTATAAATTTGTCTATATCTATCTCGATTCGTTTTGCCTGTTACAAACAACCGTTATGTGAACAAAGTTATAATACCCTTCTGCACAAGTGCGCTCGGGTATAAAAACGGCACTCAAGTACACAATACATTGACAAAAACAGTACTAGACTGTCTCGCTCTGATTTCGGAATGCTTACACATTGAGAAGTTAGCTTACTGCCAATATAGAAGTATTACATATATGGCCATCGTTAATTAAGAAAGAGATGTTCTTAAATATCATAACTTTACGACACTCACATATTGACTAGATTTGACTATTTATTTTATTATATTTTAATTTGAATTATTAGTTTACAAAAATATAGTATATTCCTTAACAAACACTAAATGAGTTTAAATAAGTTTAATCTTTGAACAACATTAAAAAAAATCGACAAACTTTCGTAAAAATTTCAAACTTTCTATTTCAATTTTATCTCCTAATATTTTGCACATTCAATTTTAGTCTAATAAAGTGCAAATTTAAAGTAGCTGTCATTTACAGTTGATGTATGGAATATTTTTAACGATGTCGGTAATTTTCTTCCATATTATCTAAGTATGTTCAACGATTTTTTTATGAAGAAAATGAGTAACGCCTTCATCAAAAAAAAAATATTAAAAATCAACGATAAGTCGCAGCTATGTTTTTTAAACTTGCGCTTTATTCGAATTGATCGGGCTACAAAACTGAGTACCCAAAATATGTATTTATAGGAAATCCAATTAAAAAGCTTTACGAAAGTTTTGTTGATTTTGGTAATGTTGCGCAAAGATTAAACCTTGGTTTTATACGGGTTTTGTTAAAGTGTAAACTGCATTTTTATAAACAAATAATTAAAATTATATAATTTTAAGATAAATGGCCAATCTAAAAAAAAAAAATTTGATAAGCACTCGAAATGTCAAGTTTTAGTATTGACTTCAAAAAAGATGTCTCTTTTATCCATTCATAATATCTTTAAAAAATCTGTTTGTTAAGAAGTGTATCTTAAAATATCTGCCTTGACATCTACTATATATTTGTGAAACGCCGGGACACGTATAACTTCTTTTTTTACCGATATAACTTCCCCCGGTAGTTTGAACCCTTCCCGATCACTGACCCCTACCATTTGTCTCACAGTGTAATAGGGTGAAAAAAATGGGGATCCAACAAGGGGACCCTTAATCAACCATAACTTCCAGACCATAAGTCACATGACCTTGAAACTTGGTATGCAGTCTTGTCAATGGTAGATGCTCATAGGAGGGTATATATAAACGAGTTTGCAAAAGGGGGCGTGGCTCCTCCCATAGGCGTGGAAATTTTGATCAGCTATAACTTCAAAACCATAAGGCAAATGAAATTGAAATTTTGTATGCAGACATACATACATATATAATACTCCTATATTGGCAGTAAGAGCTAGTACCGTCCGAAAACACTACAGTACAGATATATCAATAAACACGTACGAAAGAAAAGGAACCCATACGTTTATAAATAAACATGTACACGACACATTTACAAAAACGGCACTCAAGTACACAATACATTGACAAAAACGGTACTAGACTGTCTCGCTTTGATTTCGGAATGCTTACACATTGAGAAGTTAGCTTACTGCCAATATAGAAGTATTACATATATGCATACATATATACGGTAGGTGCTTATATACATATATACATGAGTTTGTAAAAAGGGGCGTGGCACACCCCACAGGCGTGGACCTTTTTATCAGCTATAACTCCGGAAATATAAGTCTCAAGAACTTGAAATTTGGTATGCCGGCATATCTATGGTAGGCGCTTATAGTGAGGTATATATAAATGAGTTTATAAAAAAGGGCGCGGCACATCCCATAGGCGTGTAGTATTTTACCAACTATAGTCACATAAACTTAAAATTTGGAGTGCAGACATATCTACAGCAGGGGCTTATAGTAAAGTATATATAAATAATATAATAAGCTATAACTTCGGCACCATATGTCACATGAAATTGAAATTTAGTATGCAGACGTATCTACGGTAGGTGCTTATATTATGGTATATATAAATGAGTTTTTGAGAGGGGCGTGGCACATTACACAGGCGTGAAATATGATAAACTTTGGTATGAATACGTATCCATGGTAGGTGCTTATAGTAAAGTTTGTATACATGAGTTTGTAAAAAGGAACGTGGAGCATAGGCGTGGAATTTTTAATTAGCCATAAATTGGGAACCATAATTCACATGAACTTGAAATTTGGTATGCAGACATACATATATATGGGAGTTGTTTAGAGTAAAGTATATATAAATGAGTTTTTAAAAGGGGGATACATATTGTTGGATTTTATACTTTGTTATAATATACTTTACGAAATTGTTCTGTATATAATTAAGTGCTCCTCGCTTGTACTTTAACTGTTGTCTTAAAAATTAAAAATCATTCTGCCTACGATTCTAGTAGGTTATGGGCCTTAACGCAGAACAAAATTGTCTTGTCTAACTTCAAAAGTATTTTGAAATAAATTTTTTTGGATTGGAAATGAATCGAGGCGCTGAATCGGTTCGCTTTGAAAAGCTCGTGGGATCAGATAATTGGCTGACTTGGAGTTTCGGGATCGCTACGTCTTGAAGGCCTATGGGTGTTAGTTGCAGGATCTGCTTCGATTGCTAATGCAGAAAAAGAGGAGAAAGCCAGATATCGTTTCGTACTTTCAGTGGACAAGGCTTTGTATGTCTACCTGCGAAATTGTACAAAATGGTATGGATGAACGCGTAAATAGGACTTTGACTGAAAAAGCTAGATGTATGTTAATCCATTCAAAGTTGCCAAAGCGTTTTTGCGCTGAAGCTGTGAATACTGCAGTATATGTCGCAAATAGAAGTCCTCACAAATCATTAAAACTGACTCGAGAGGAGATGTGGAATAGACGTAAGCCAGACGTTAGTCACATGCGAGTTTTTGGTTGCGCTGCTATGTTTTTTGTACCTAAGCAAAAACTTCTGAAATGGGATGCAAAATCTGAGCACGGAATTTTCCTTGGCTATGGTATAAACTGCAAATGATATCGTGTGTATGATGTAAAGAAAAATAGTATTTACGTATCGAGATGTTCAGTTCAACGAGAATGTGATAGGATATGTCCAGGTGAAAGAAAGGACGATGATTTTTATTTTTTTTTTAAATCCTGCGACTAGTGACAATGATCAACGATGTACTGAACTTGATAATGATGATTGTAGTTCGAATTCATTGTCATTTGACTCTTTGTCAGAAAATGATGATGAAGTGGGGGAAATGCAAGCTAAGAGTCTTCCACTTGATATAACGATGAGTGATGAAATGAATGACATGAAAAACCAAGTTGAGAAGATTGTGGCTGCTCCAGTAAGACGTAGTGAAAGAATTGCAAAGAAGGTAGAACTTGACTACTGTGGTTTTACAACAACTTTGACAACTCATGAAACAAATACAATTCAAGAAGCTCTATCCAGCGAAGAAGCTGATCAATGGAGAGGTACTGTTGAGAGTGAATTCAATTCTTTAGAAGAAAACCAAACATGGATAGCAGTTCCAAAACCAGCAAATCGCAATTTAATAAGACGAAGTGGATTTTCAAGAAGAAGAGGGAACGTGATGAAAGCATTCGGTACAAAGCCCGACTTGTTGTTAAAGGGTTTACTCAACGCAAAGGTATAGACTATGAAGACGTTTTTTCACCCGTCGTGCGTTACACATCTGTACGTTACTTGATGGCATTATCTGCGCGATTTGGGTTGAAAATAGAGCAAATGGATGCTGTAACAGCTTTTCTACAGGGAGAATTATTGGAAGATATCTATGTAGAGCCACCATCGGTAGTCGAAATTCCAAAGGGGTTTGTACTTAAGATAAAAAAAGCACTTTGTGGCCTAAAGCAAGCTAGTCACGTTTGGAATCTCTAACTCGATGCGGCATTGAAGAGATCGTAAAGCGGTCTCAATTTGATCCTTGCATCTGTTACAATACAGTTGGTGAGAAAATGACATTCCTGGCATTGTACGTTGACGACATGTTGTTGTTTAGTAATGATATTTTTATACTAATGAGCTAAAAACAAACTTAATGAAGAATTTTAAGATGAAGTTCTTAGGAGAGGCAAAACAATGTTTGGGCATGAGAATCACGCAAAAGGACAATAATATATATATTGATTAAGAAGAGTATATAAAGTCCATGCTTCAAAGTTATAACATGGAAAGTTGCAATCCCATTTCGACTCCATTTGACTTGAATCAGAACCTTAAGAAATCAGATACGATTGATGAAACAATGAAAGAAGTTCCTTACCAGCAAGTAGTCTTCTGTTTGCTGCTCAGTGTAAAAGACCAGATATTTGCCAAGCAGTAAATTTTTTAAGTCGTTTCAACAATAATCCAAATCGTATTCACTGGATGGCAGTGAAACGCATTTTAAGATACTTAAAGGGTACACTTGAAATGAAGTTGTTTTTTACCGCAAGAGGAAACCATGAGATAGTTGCTTGTCCGGATGCTGATTGGGCAAACGATGTAAATGAGCGACGCTCTGTGACAGGATACGTCAATATTTTACAAAATGGAGCAATATTATTTATTTATTTATTTATTTAATAATAATAATCCAGAAATTATTACATTTCATAAAGATTACAAACGACTTAAAAATAAGAAAAACAAACTAAGTAATTAATTCATTTAATATTGATTTAAAACGGGTTTCCGAGTAAGAAAAGTCTAGAACAGAAGAATTTGAGAGCAAGTTGAATTCCTTTAGAGCCCTGAGTATGGGAGCATTAGAAGCATATTGAGTTCTTACCTTCTCCCAGGAGAAAGTTACGTGATTTCTCAAACATCTCTGAGGCACAGTGAAATGAATACATCCGAGCAAGTATGGGCAGTCTATGACACCACGTACTAAGTTATAGACAAAAGTAAGGGAGAGAATAGACCACCTACAATCTAAAGACTTAAGATTAATAAGTAGACATCTACCACGGTAGGAGGGAATTGGGTGGACAAAATGCAGAGAATGAAGGGCAAAACGAACAAATTTTTTTTGGACTCGTTCAACCCTATTGATATGGCAAGCGTAATAAGGTCTCCAAATTACGGCGGCATAGTCTAACTTGGAGCGCACCAGGGAGGTATAGAGTGACTTTAGGGTATACGGATCAGAAAAGTCTGAGCTGAAACGTCGAATAAAAGCCAACATAGAGTATGCTTTAGCTATCGTGCAGTTTAATTGACTCTGAAATGAGAATCTATAGTCAAACACCACGCCTAGATCTATAATTTCAGTAGGGTTACCCAACTGAGAACCACCAATGTGGTAGGAAGTTGGGATAGAAGAGCGGGATTTAGTGAAGGTGACATGGTGACACTTATTTATATTTAAATTTAGCATGTTTATATTACACCAAGCAACAACGTTATCAGATCCCTTTGAAGGTTCAAAGAGTCTGAGGGACAGGCTACCGTGGAGTAAATCTTCAGATCATCAGCATACAAAAGAAACTCTGAGAACTTAAAACAACTAAAAAGTGTCGTTTATAAAAATTACAAAAAGAAGGGGTCGTAGTATACTCCCCTGGGGAACACCAGAGGTCGCAATAAAGGGATGGGAAGATACATCGTCAACGACAACAACACAATTCCGGCGAGATAGATATGATTTCATCCACTTCAAAAATATTGAGTGGACTCCTAGGCTGTGTAACTTTGTAAGTAACATAGAGTGACTAACCTTGTCGAACGCTTTTGAAAAGTCCGTATACACAGTGTCGACTTGAACATGATTGTGAAAAGCCGATATACAGTATTCAGAAAAAACTGCCAGGTTAGAAACAGTAGATCTACCGGCCATGAAACCGTGCTGATTAACACAGATCAAGCGGTTAATTGAGAAGTATAATTTTTGTTTTACGATGTATTCGAATAATTTTGAGACCGTGGATAATTTGGAAATAGGTCTGTAGTTAGCTATATTATTCTTATTCCCACTTTTAAATATGGGGTTGATAAGAGTGACCTTCCAGGCATCAATAAACTCACCAACCTCGAGAGATTTGTTGAAAATTAGTAAAAGAGGATATGCGAATGCGTAGCAGCACTTGAGAAAATATGACGATAACCCATCCACATCAGTTTGAGTTGACGATTTGATTTGTCGAATACCGTCTTCAACATCTTCAATGGTTAAAGAGAAAGTTCCAAAATTAACTGGGGAATCGTTGTTCAGGAGATTATTTCCACTTACATCAGCTTCCAGTTCGAAGTTGGAGTTAAAGAAATCTGCAAAAAGATTTGCAGCCTCAAGAGAAGTGTGAGCTTGGATATCATTATAAAATACTACTGAGGGAATGCTTGAACACGATTTCTTCGACTTTACATACCTCCAGAAAGCTTTAGGATTGGATTTTATCTCAGACTCGAATTTCTGAACATAGTTACGCTTTAGCTCCTTGCTTAATGATTTAAACTCCTTCGAGTATTGTAAGTATTTGTCTCTATTTAAAAGTGAGTTTGATAATTTAAATCTTTTATAAAACTTGTTTCTCAAATTCTTGAGTTTTTTCAGCTCTTTAGTGTACCAAGGTATCTTATAACATTGTTTTTTAACTCTCGGTATATTGTTTCTGCATATTTCACTAATCTTAAATTTGAAGATATCAAAACATTTGGCAACTTCAACCCCAGTAAATAAGGAATCCCAGTCTAAGGACTCGATTGCAACATTAACTGCCTCAAAATCACAGTTTCTGTAACAAAAACTCGTAGAGAAACGGTCCAAACTGATAGTATTGAACTCGTAAAACTCTAAATCAAGAACCAGTGGAACGTGATGTAGACCTGGAGTAGACAATGGATCAAGGCATTCCAATAAGGCAAAACTAACATTGTCATTAATAAAAATAAGATCTAAAGTTCGAAGCAGTTTGTTAGTGAAATTATTTATTTGTATGAGGTCACAACTTAAAAAATTATCAACCAGATAGGTTTCAGCAAAAGTATTAAGAGATTTCGGGTGTAACCCTGGACTATCGCCCCTAGCAGACCAATCGATATTACTTAGGTTGAAGTCACCAATTACACATAGATTTTCATGACTAGATGCTAAATCAAGAACATTGTCAACATGCGCTTTGTAGATTGCATCACCACTAGATGGCGGTATGTAACAAACGCAAATTACTAGTTTAGAAATACCATCCACAGCAATACTAATTTGATCAAAGAGGGTATCCTCATTCTTTAATGGCACAAGCGAAGAGCGGTATTTTCGATTAACCGCTATTAATACACCCCCACCTCTAGAGAGACCAGCTTTTGAAACATCTCTGTCTTTGCGAAACACGTTGAACAGATTGCAGTCGAAAAACTCATTGTCATAAAAATTCTTATTCAACCATGTTTCAACGAGGACAAATATGTCATAGTCCAAATGGGAACTCATGGCAAAAAGTTGTTTAGATTTGGTTCTAAGACCCGATACATTTTGAAAATAGAGTTTCAGACGTTTTGGGATGACTTCTGGAGGGTCAACTAAGCTTCTTGCTGTGGTACGCCGTCTTTGGGAAAAAAACGGAAAGGACGAATCTTCACATGCGTTGGCCAAATGTCCGCATTAAGCACCTTTTCATAGCAGCATTCCGACACCCCAAGTTTAAAATTAATTTTTTTAAGTTTGCATACGTCAGTGTCCTTTTTCACAAGCATATGGCAGGTCAGCAACTTCGTATCAAGCTCGGCGTGCTTTGAAACATAAGCTAATATATCGGCAACAGTTACGTTATTTGAAAAAGATGATAAATGCAACTACTTCAAACCAGGAACAACATGTAGTTCTTGGCTATTATTCGACCCAACGACAATTGGTTAATTAAGTTTTCTACTACTGCGTTTCGCAGTGATATTCCGCATGGGCAACTGGTACACAGATGATTTCGCTGTCTGATCAGGTGGGTGTAAAGAAGAGGCCGACGGCAAAGCAGCAGCACTGGCATAGGAGACGGGAGCAGTGGTAGTGGTGGCGGCCGCAGCAGCAGCAATGTTAGACGATATCGGAGTTTTCTCTTTCTGCGTTTTCTCATTCCGCGTTTTCCCTTTAAATATGTTCGTGTCACCAGCACTTTGCGAAAATGCTGGCAACGGCGCAGCGCAGGTAAACGCAATATTCTCAGCAATAACACGAGAATCAGACACAGATTGAGACGATGATGAAGAGGAAGCAAGCGAATGAGTCTGACTAGCAGTACTCGTAAGTTTATTGTTTTTAGTGATTTTGACATTACCACTAGGGGCTGCATTTAGACTATTGACACTAATAAAGACGATACCGTGCTGAGCTTTTACTTCGCATGTCAGCTTAGAAAGCACAGAGTCTTTGTCGCTGAGTAAAGATTTTAACGAACAAATCTCCTGATGGAGTTCAAACGTTTTTTTCATTAGATTTTCCCGATNGGAGCAGCGATTTTATTAGACACCATAAGCAATGTGGATTATTGCTCAGTATTATTGTCTTTAGGCACGTTAATTTCTTCACTGTCTTTATTTATTGTCTCAAACGGCGAAGCTGATATAGGTGGCGAGCGAATAGAAGCACGACGCTTATCCGAACAATCTTTACACATGAAAGGCCTCTCAGTGGCTAACAGATAATCAACATCTGCTTGTACGATACCAACACATTTCACGTGGAAAAACACTTTACATATCGCACAGTCTATCTTCGGTTGAGTACGGTCAACTTTCTGCCCACAACAACACGGCATATTAATGTCACTTCTATTATTGAAGTTTTAAATTAGATATAAATTTCGTATCAGCAATTACATATTTTTCACCAATAGGCACATGAATATTGGTAAAACAAGAGTCACTGTCTAAAACTGAGTTGTTGTATAAAATTAACAACATTTTTGATGCAAAAATCACTTAGAAATACTGATTAAATGCAGAGCGAGAGAAAAACACGTCCATACCATTTGACAAACACTTAGTAAATGGAATAGTAAGCGGCAACCAACTGTACCTTTATCGACCAGTGAAGCTGAATACATGGCGATGTCGGCTGCTACACAAGAGGTTGTATGGTTAAGAGGGCTTGAGAAAGAACTCAACATAAAGTTTGATGAACTGTTACCAACAAAAGATTTTTGTGATAACCAAAGCGCTACTCATATTGCTACAAACGATGCTTATCATCCAGGAACTAAGCATATTGACATACGACATCATTTTATTCGAGAGAAAAACAAAATGAACGAAGTATCTTTTTGCAGTATTTCAACAGATAAAATGATAGCAGATTTTTTGACCAAACCTGTTTGCTTTGATAAACACAAGTTCTTTTGTAAACAAATAGGTTTGAAAATTATATAAGTATATTTCGAGTGGGGGTGTTGGATTATATACTTTGTTATATTTAATATACTTTACGAAATTGTTCTGTATATAATTAAGTGTTCCTCGCTTGTACTTTAACTGTTGTCTGAAAAATGAAAATCATTCTGCCTACAATTCTAATACATATGTATTCATCTATTATGTATATCACTCGGATATTTAAAACTGTGTCTTATAGTCTTTAGACCGTTTCGGAACGGAAAGATTAAATCGTTTTTTTTTATCCCGTGATGCTGTTAAACTAAAAATGTGGCGCTATTCTAAAACAGCTAAGCGAATAGGCAGATAAACGGAATGTATAGTTTGTCTCCTTTAATTTATGCTGAATTGAATATTTGTACTACTGTTTTATATTTTGATTTGTTTACCGCGAACAACGTCGGGTGCTCTGTTAAAGTGTAAAATATGTAAATGTACCTAAACTTTCACGTGAATACCATCAAAGCAATGATCTTTAAGGGAATCTATGTATGCATGCATGCATGCATATGAGCAAATCAAAACGTCGATACAATTTACAGTCGAAAAGTACAGTTTTTGTATAGATTATAGATTATTTCCAAACACTGTGGGGAACTAAGCAAAATGGCCTTGTGTATTTCGCAAATATTCAAATAATCCACCAACCGATAATGTTATATATTCATTAAAAGATCATTTGTCATCAGTCTGAAACAAAAATATATAAATCGGCAGAGTAAAAAAGTATTGTGTTATTAATTCAAAAACAAAAAGTTTAATTTCACTGACGAAGGGGGGGATCTATACCCCCGATCCCCCCTCTGGCTACGCCACTGACTGCCATTCACCTGGGAGTGGCCAGAAGTGATTCGTTTGCTTACGGTTCAAATCGCAGTTCACTACGTCCGGACATTTATAGCCATGAATCCTCTGGGTAGCGACCGAACTAGTTTGGGAGCGAGCTAAAGTTGGAGGGCGTAACACCCCGCGTGCGCTGGGTTGGGGTCCCGCCACGTTAAAACCCTGCCCAATGAAAAAAAAAACATATGCCGCGGATAATACCCCCTTCTTTTCGCCGGTGTCGGAAAATTCAGCCTACACATAGAGGCGGAGGGCTGAGCCGGATCGACTTCGCCGGGGCCCGAAACTTGGCAGTATGTAGTACTGGTTTATAGCTTAAAAAGATCGGTCAAGCTACATGGGTGTCTCCAGATCGAAAAAGAGAACACCAAATCGAGCATGTTGTGATAGACGGAAAGCATGCTTCCAGTGTTTTAGATGGTCTTACTTACACTCCGAGGGCCAAACATAGACTCGCATCACTGTATAGATGCAGCCAATATACGACCCCATCTCGGTGCAGCAAAAAAAACGGCCCCCAACAATACAAGGGAAGTTCAACGTCGAAAAGCTGCAACCAAACAGACAGCCAATGGATTCGCCGCTCGACCCCCACACCTGCTGTGAGAGAGAACTATTCAACAAACCGACATACGTGAGCAGTGGAACCACATTTTCCGCTCATTACTGGTACGATGAGGAGTGTCAAGAAGCTGCAGAGGAAAATACTTGAAATGCTGGCCGACAGAAAAAACAACCGAAATTTCTAGCAGAGAGTTGAGCGACTTACGGAAGGTTTCAAGACTCCTGTAGGAACAACCATGGCGACCTAGTGACCGATGCCCAGAACGTACTCATATATTGGAGGGAACACTTTTCGACTCCTTTAAATGGCAGAAGCACTGAAAGAAGTGGAGAAAACGAACCCGAGTCCCCAGTCGATGACGATGGAGTCGGTATCCCCGCGCCTGACTATGATGAGGTATGAATAGCGATTGTGCTGATGAAAAGTAACAAAGCTGCTTGAGCTGACGGCCTGTCAGCTCACCTATTCAATTACGATGGCAAGGAACTAATAAGGTGTATGCCCGGCGACTGGAATTCAAGTGCGCTCTGCCCAATCCACAAGAAAGGCGACCCCGCCATGCGTGGCACCAACCGCGGGATCAGCCTTCTAAGCATAGGTTGCAAGGTCTTATAAAATGTATTGTGTGAAAGACTGAATACCACCTTCAGTGAACTGATTGTGCTTTACCAAGGTGGCTTTAGGCCTGGAAAATCCATCATAGACCAGGTGTCTTGGAAAAGATACGCGATAAAAGGATCGACACTCACCACCTATTTGTCGACTTTAAAGCCGCTTTCGACGGCACTGAACGGAGTTGCCTATACGCCGCTATGTCTGAATTTGGTATCCCCTCAAAACTCATACGGCTGTGTAAAATGACGTTAAGCAATACCATAAGCTCTGCCAGAATTGGGAAAGACCTCTCCGAGCCGTTCGCCACCAAACGGGGTTTCAGACGGGCGACTTCCTTTCATGTGACTTCTTTAATCGGATGTTGGAGAAGATAATAAGAGCTGCAGAACTGAACCACTCAGGAACAATTTACTACAAGAGTGTACAATTGCTGGCCTTTGCCGATGACTCTGACATCATCGGTAAGAAAAACCGAGAAGTCTGTTATACCTTTTTCCATGGTTTTGGTGGTAAACGAGGACAAGACGAAGTATCTCCTGTCGTCAAACAAACAACCAGCACCCACGTCACTGTTGACAGTTATAATTTCGCGAAAGTAGAAAATTTCGTTTACTTGGGAACCAGCATTAACACCGATAATAACGTCAGCATGGAAATTCAACGCAGAATCACTCTTGCCAACAAGTACTACTTTGGACTTAGTAGGCAATTCAGGGGTTTCTGGACGTACGAAAACTACACTCTATAAGTCACTCATCATGTGCCCGTGCTGGTATATGGCGCAGAAGCATGGACAATGGCATCAACCGATGAGGTAGCTCGTGGAGTATTCGAGAGAAAGATTTTGCGGAAGATTTACGGGCCCTTACGCGTTGGCGACGGCAAGTGCGGCAGACGATGGAACGATGAGCTGTATGAGTTTTACAACCACATAGACATAGTGCAGCGAATTAAAATACAGCGGCTCCACTGGATTGACTATTTCGTTCGAATGGACACCGACGCTCCAGCTCTGAAAGTATTCTGGCTTCACTTGGCACTTCCAATTGGTGTCAGTTGGCACAGAAGTGAAACTACTGGCGTGCTTTGCTGAACTCGGCCAAAAGCGCTTCGGCGGTTATAGCGCCAAATAAGAAGAAGAAGAGAAAAGATCTATAACCTTATCAGTCACACAGTGTTATAATCCCGACGAAATTCTTGAGGGTGTTACCGGGAGGGCAACGGTACATGACGGTAGGAAGTCTAGTTAGGGTTAAAGTCTCACACTGACGGGTTAGGCGTTCGATGCTTCCTCCTCGTTAAATAAACATGCGCAGTGAAAAGTTAACTATTAGGGGCCATTTGCGTAACAGCAGGTTATCTATTTAACTCGTAGTTTACTGGTTAAATTGATATATTGGCTTCCACAATCTATGGTTAGGAGTAAAATTAGAGTTAAATCGTTAAATATTTAGCCCAGAAATTTTTGAAGGTTAAGTTGCTAACTCTACATATGTCAATTTTTTCAGTAGCAAGAATAAAAAAATTGAGATTTCAAAAATGTTTAATGTAAAAAATATGTCTGACTTCATATGTACATACAGTCAGTCAATAAAGTTTAGGTACAGCGAATTTTTTACAATACGGGTAACTATTTTTTAAATATTTTATTTTTCGATATTTTTTTATAAAAATATGGTCAATTCTACAATGAAAAACCGAAAAATCAGATTTTCAAACCTTGGGCAAAATTAAAGAAAATTCGGCAAAATTTCGTTCAAATATTGCACTTTTTATTTACGCTCTTTAGAAAGAAGTTGAGTATGCAGTTTTTTAGCCCATTCAATTTTAGTATAACAAAGTGCAAGTTTGTGGTGACTAGGACTTACCATTGATTTTTAGGAGTTTTTTTTTGTTGAAGGTGTCGCTCATTTTCTCCATATAAAATAATGTTTGATAACAGTAAAAGGTTCTGGAAGTTTGTGAATTGCAAGAAGAAAACCACAGGGATTCCTGACATGGTGAATTATTTAGGTGAATCGTCGACGAACGTTCAGATGATTTGTAACATGTTTGCCAATTTTTTCCGTTCTATGTATGTTCCTCACTCTGAAGCCGGAACAGTCAATGTTTCCTGTAACAGCACACTCGTCCTTAAAGGATTACAGCTCTCAGAAGATGAAGTGCTAGATGGCATTTTAGCCTTGCCAAACGACCCGAATCCTGGTGAAGATGGCTTTCCCCTTCCTTGTTAAAGAGCTGTGCGCCAGCGTTAGCATTACCATTATCCAAAATATTTAACAAATCCCTAAATTTAGGCGAATTCTTACCGATTTGGAAAAGGTCCCTCATCACACCTATCCATAAGTCTGGGAGCAAGTCCGACGTCCAAAATTATCGTCCAATCAGTAAAATTCCAAGCATACCTAAACTCTTCGAGA